AATTCTAAAAAAAATAATAATAATCAAAACTTGTGAAAAAAGTGTTTTCTTCTAGTTTTTTTCCTCATTTTTTTTTTATTTTATTCAAACTAGGGGTTAGGTACAGATATGTGATATAATTATATAGCCCTATCTGTCCTCTAAAAAACAATATATAATATGTGTGGGTACATTTAGTAAGAAAGTATATTACTGCCGTGGAAGAATCACACAGCAAAAATGTAAAAAATGTGTCAGTCATTTATGAACAGAACCTGAAAACTAGCTCAGTCATGAAGGCGTTAATATATTTAGCAGTACTGTAAGTAACTGCATGATCCCTCTCTGTTTAAGGATCTAAGAAGACATCATCAAGACTTTCTGGCACAAATGAAGTTATGCATCTCACCCAAGAACACCCAGAACTTGCATCAAGTATTTATCCGCAATAAGGAGAAGTAAGATCTGTATATAACATACTCATTAGGAGGACAGTTTTACTTTTCTAAATTGAAACTTATTTTCCTCTGCTAGGCATTTATAATTCATGTTGCTGTCCAAGTTTGTGCAAACTTTCACAACCACAGTGTTATTTCCCTTCAGGGCATCTGATGTAGTTCTGCTTTTCACAGTAGATAAAATTGTTCAGTGTAAAGCATATAAAGTTTCAGGGGGCTAGGTCATGAGAAAGGTATAGGGGTTGTCATTGCTGCCCCTTTTTACAAAATGCTAGGTGCCTGGTAGTGCCTGGCTTCAGTATCTAAGCTCCAGGTCAGAGTCTCGGAAAGCATTAAAGCCAACGCATCAGCATGACCTCCAAGTAACCTTGCTACCTGTCCCTTATAATATGGGATCACTTTGGACTCATAGCTTACAAGCTGTGTCCTGTAAAGAATCTATAAGGGACGCAGTTTGTCCAATGCTTCATGGCCCCGTACAGCTTAATGCGTTTCCATGGTGCAGGCAAATCAGCATGTCTGTACCATGGGAACGCATGGCACTGACCAAGGGTGTTGGCATCCATGGAAGCCCCAGCATTCAGAGGAAGGAAAGAAGCAACTGTATCTGGACTTTGCCTCTGTCCAGACCTGCCTCCTGCTGTCTGCCATTCTGCTGTGATATGAAAGGGGCTCTTGATGTGAAGGGGGGGAAATTAGGGCTCTAATGTGTAAAGGGGATCTTGATGTCAAGGGGGGTGAGGATTTTGATGTCAACAGGGGTTCCTGCTGTAAACGGGGGCTGAAGACTTTGATGTGAAGGGGGGACTCTGATGTGAAAGGGGGGGCTCTTGATATGAAGAGGGAGCTCTCAAAGAAAGGGGGCTCGTGATGTAAAATGGTGACTCTAATTTGAAAGAGGGGTGTCTTGAAGGGGGAACTCTGATTTAAACTAGGGTTCCTAGTTACTAATTATGTGAAAAGAGGAATCTGATATAAAAAGAGGGACTCTGTTGTGAAGGGAAGCTCCTGATGTCAAGAAGGAACTCTGTTGTGATGGGGGACATCCCCTGTGGCACCAAAGAGTGACTGGCATCATTATCCAGTGCAGATATCAGTGTCCTTCAGCCCAGCTTTTAGACCCTCCCCTGCTCCTCCACCTGCCCCACCCCTACTCCATTCTCTGTCCCTTATTTTGCCAGAAGAAAATTGGCAACCTTACTGCCAGGGAACTATCATTTTTACATAAGAGGTCAGCAATGGCACCCCCCATACCTTTCTCATGAGAGAGTAAATTTAACTCAGCATAATGAAAATGTTCCGACAATTCACCACTGCACTGGTGTAAAGCCAGGTATGTGAGCACATACAACTGTGAATATATCTTTTTCAGGTATATTAAGGGTCTTTTGATGCTAACTTGTTTTCTAAAGCACTATAGGTACATTAACTGATTGTTATTTAACTGTCCAGTACATTTAACAATCCTAGTCTCCTTTACATTTACCAACACTGACTTATGAGATTACATATACACTGAGTGGCCAGATTATTATGACCACCCCATCAGTACTTCGTTGGGCCACGAGATGACTCCACGAGATGACTTTGTTGGGCCCCTTTGTGACTCCACGAGATGTTGAAAGGTGATGCGAGGAATCTGACACTGCACTGTTCCCTTCTGTTGTCTTGTACCAGTCTTGACACTCTCCGTTCTGCCCTAACATTGACTAGTCGCTGACGGCCACAATTCGCACGTTCAGACCCAGATTTTTGGCTGACAGTTCAGTCTTTAAACACTTTAACAACAGCTGCTCTTGAACATTTAACGAATTCTGCTGTTTTGCTGATACTCGCTCCGTGGCTCCGAGCGCCAACAATCATTCCACGTTCAAAGGTTGTTAAATCGCGTTGTTTACTCATATATTCAGAAAATCACTTCTACTGTCGTGGTAAACAACCGATTTATAATGGTCTGGCCCTCTAGCAACTTCAGCTAATTATTTATAACTAATTTGCCTACAAACGTCAGGTGGTCATAATAATCTGGCCACTCAGTGTATACTGTAAAAGCATTACCTAAGTATATGGTATTTACTTTCAACAGGTTTTTAATTTATGGTCCATATTGTAGTCAAGTGGAATCTGCCTCTAAAACATTGGAACAGACATCACAGGTCCATGAGGATGTCAGGATGAAGCTTGAGGTAATTAGATTTGATAAGGCAACCAGAACATCTAGTCCAGATTTTGCTGGGCATTATACTGTTAAAAAGTAAAAGAATGCACACCTGTAGTGAGCTATATCTGTTTGATCATAAATTTGGTGTAAATAATATATTTTGCCTAGCGATGTATTCATGATATAAACATAATGTGGACAGAGAGTTAACAATTTGGGATCTATTTTTAACCAATTTGCAGAGCCATTCCCCCTACAAATCTTTATGAATGTTCGTTCTGTGCAAATAGATGTACAGATGAATATTCTTAGATATATTTTCTTTTCAGGTCAATTGTATGAAATGTAATACTGCATTATGGCCACTAGATGGAGCAGAGGAGCATAGGAAATAAATACTTGCCGCTGGGAGCACATCTTTGCTCCAATACAAGCCCATACAATTAAAGAAAAGCTGGCTGCCCAACGAATTCCACTGCAATAGTTTATTGAAACTTGTACCACATCACAGGTACCCCACCCAAGGCCCGCCCCCTCTGTCGCGTTTCACCCAATCACATGCTTAGTCTTTGAATACAGTTTGAGCCTAATCACAGATGCATTTCACCCAATCAAGGACTAAACTTGTAATTGGGTGTAACGCATCAGAGGGAGCGGACCTTGGGCGAGACACCAGTACGTGGTACCAGTTTCAATAAACTATCCCAGCGGGATCCAGTGTCCGGCCAGCTTTTCTTCTGTTTGTAGCTGTTTCTGTTATTTATAGTTATAGAAGGTACAGTGTATATCTAATTTAACAATTATGTAACAATAATATTACATACGAAAAGGAGAGTTGATGAGAGTGTAGTAAATTTGGTTGGTACCAATAACCAGAGAAATCTCCACGGACAAGTCTTAAGCACTTGTGTCTCTTACTGGAAATCAGGATCAGTTGGCAACTATGTAATGAGAGAAAGAAAGTCAAAACCTATTTCTCATTTGTTAATCAATAAGTCATTGTTTGTATTACTCAGTAGCAAATGAGTTTAGCAGAACTAAACTGTGCTGGGAGAGTCCGGATCACTTGCCATCATGTGCAAATATGCAAAGCAACCACTTCCCCCTTCCAAAAAAGAAAAGTAAACAAATTAATAAAAATGAAAAATACCCATCTTGTCTTTAAAGCTCATGTTAAACATTGAAAGCTATGGATGACATTTGCATCTAGCATATTGACATCAAAAAGACCTGATCAAGACCAAATTCACATCTGTATCACTTAGGCCTCCACCATTGCAAAGTGCATCTAGAGAATGGTGCTCTCTGTATTATGATTGGAAGCCAAAGAGCTGGTTGATTCAGCTCCTGAGCTTACCACTGGACCCTGGCTGTCTCTGATAGCAGATGGTTCCAGTACTGAACCCACTGACGCCCACATGCATCCACTGACACCAGGTTCTGTTTAAAACAGAGTTGGAAATGAATCTGCAATTGTAGGGCCATTCTAAAAAAGGCACCTAGGCGGTAAAGGTGTTAAACTTAATAATGCAGGCTGTTGTTCATCTGCAAACCCCTGTAGCTTTGTAGAAAAGGGATATTTAAAAAAAGAAAGTCCTTTAAATTGTTTTTAGATAAATATATGAGAGTGTGCAGTGTAGTCTACACGCTTGCTAAACAGTGGAGCCAAGTGCTGCGATGGTACAATTGCATTATGAATACACAGTAGTTGCATTATAACAAGTGGCCTTATGGCTAAGGGGGAAGGCCATGAAAAAGGAAGAAGATTCAGCAAAGATGGCACCTGTGCCTGTGGAGTGTCATGGAAGAGCACAGAACAGTTATCGGGGTAACATGGAACATTTTAAGGTTTGCTGGAAAGTGAAAGTATGCCATGCAAGTGCTCCTGCCACAACCCCCAGCCATCAGTTCCTCTTTACTGTAATTTATTTTATCAGTTTGTGTTATTGTGTTGAAAAACTGTTTATTTGTATAGTTTGTAGTTACTCATTTACAAACTGCTTATAGTTTGAAAAATATTACTTCCTCCTAACTGCATTTCCCACATGTAAAAAGTTATGTGTTCTGACTACAGACTGGCCAGCCAACAAATCTAGCTGAGCACAATTCTGTATTGTTGCTGGTGCTGCACTTTTCTATATGCATTTCCACTTTAGCAGATGTAACCCAGCGATGAAAGGTGATCTTAAGCAGCTAGTCTGTAAAGTGACTCTGATATCTTTCTCGAAGGGCTAGTTCACACCAGCTCCAGTGCGTTCCGGCCCGATTCTGGCCTGAACACACTGGATTGCATCCTGGCCGGCTCACTTTGTTTTGGGGCGTGAGGGGGAGTGGCGGTGCATTGAATTCAATGGCGCCACAGTGCAATCGCCTGCACCAGAATGTGTGGCATCAATGCCTGCGTTTGCACTGCGGCCGGAGGGCGTGGCTGCGGTGCCATTGACTATAATACACCACCACGCCCCCTCCTGTCCCATAACAAAGTGAGCCGGCTGGGATGCGATCCAGTGGGTTCCGGCCAGAATCGGGCGGGAACGCACTGGGGCTGGTGTGAACTTGTCCTCAATCCCTAACTTCCAGGATAAATAGGAGGGGGGATCTCCTCAATCCCCTCCCTACTCTAGCCAAAATGAAAACACTTGCTTTTATTTATTAATTTTAATAAAAGCTCTAATGCATATTATCCTTTAGCAGACCATTCGACTTTAACCTTTAGAAGGCAAATGCAGCTGGACGAATGAAGTACTGTATAGTTTATGATTATCCGTTAAAGGTACCTAGACACATTATGTGACAGTCTCTTCTATTTTCAGTCAATGGGCCAAGGCTTGTTAGGGCAAGCTGGTATTTGAGGTGTCTCTGTATACTTTGAATTATCTGTGTACATGGCGATATGCTTTTTGATCTTCTTATCTAACTGAAGTATTAGTTTGAGTTGGAGATTTCCACCCCTGAACAATACCTTTGCATAAAGTAACAGAAGGTCCAGCAGTGCTCTGGTATATATACAATATACAATATAGTGTATACTGTTAGACACGCTATTGGCTTACACATGCATTTTATGCACAGGGGAAACATATCTGTTGCTGACTTTATCTCAGAATAACAGTATCTCCACCCCAGAGAACTGACTCTTTACTGAGGTCAGTTAGCCAGGAGGTGTCTGCAACCGTTAACTGGTCCCACCTATAACATAAGGTATATAAGGTGGTCATCAACAGGATAGGGCACCTATCATCACTTGTCTACTGAGTACTTTAATTTTAATTTACAGTGCTACCAGGCATGTTTTAGAAATGCTGTAGTTAACATTTTATATATACAAAGGAACCTAAGCAGATACTATATATCACTGGTTTTGCAGGAATGTTCTCAGAGAGCAAACAATGGTCGGTTCTCCCTACGGGATTTGCTGATGGTGCCCATGCAACGAGTTTTGAAGTATCATCTTTTGCTCCAGGTATTATTATATGTTTATTATGAGTAATGTCTAATGAGCTATGTATATGGCCCAAGTTCTCAGTTCTCTGCTTCTTCCATATAGGAACTGGTAAAACACACAGTGGAGCCAACAGAGAAGGAGAACCTAAAGCAGGCACTGGATGCCATGAGGGTAAGATTGCAGAATCACATAAGCACTCTAATACTCACTATAAATGATTATAACATTACAGTTCAGTGTTTAAAATATGTTCGTGCACATAGTTTATATTAGAAAAAGAAAAACTGTAGTCGATATAGATATAGATGGATATTAATAGGGAAGGGAACTTTATTTTGAGTAATGTTATTTTTTCACAATGATTTATTGAAAACAACCACCTAAAGGGCAATATTAACCAACTACACCTAGGTATACAATTGTATATGTATGAAAAATGCAGTTTCTAAATAAAATATTTATATATGTGGTTTCCTCTAGGATTTGGCCCAGTGTGTTAATGAGGTGAAAAGGGACAATGAGTCGTTGAAGCAGCTTACCACCTTCCAGTTATCTATTGAACATTTGGTATGCTTATGATGATGAAATTATATTGGTCTCATTGAAAATACAGTCTCTGCTATGGCACAGTGTTTGATATGTACAATCCATGTTATGTACTGGCACAATCCATGTTATGTACTGCCACAATCCATGTTATGTACAGTACAGCAGTGCCCCACACTGTCTGCACTGGTGCAATGCATGCTATGGACATTCCAGCAGTGCCCTAAACTGTCTGCACTGATGCAATCCATGTTATGTACAATACAGCAGTACCCCAAACTATCTGTACTGGCACGATCCATGTTATGTACAATACAGCAGTACCCCACACTGTCTTCACTGGCACAATCCATGTTATGTACAATACAGCCGTACCCCACACTGTCTTCACTGGCACAATCCATGTTATGTACAATACAGCCGTACCCCACACTGTCTTCACTGGCACAATCCATGTTATGTACAATACAGCCGTACCCCACACTGTCTTCACTGGCACAATCCATGTTATGTACAATACAGCCGTACCCCACACTGTCTTCACTGGCACAATCCATGTTATGTACAATACAGCCGTACCCCACACTGTCTTCACTGGCACAATCCATGTTATGTACAATACAGCCGTACCCCACACTGTCTTCACTGGCACAATCCATGTTATGTACAATACAGCCGTACCCCACACTGTCTTCACTGGCACAATCCATGTTATGTACAATACAGCCGTACCCCACACTGTCTTCACTGGCACAATCCATGTTATGTACAATACAGCCGTACCCCACACTGTCTTCACTGGCACAATCCATGTTATGTACAATACAGCCGTACCCCACACTGTCTTCACTGGCACAATCCATGTTATGTACAATACAGCCGTACCCCACACTGTCTTCACTGGCACAATCCATGTTATGTACAATACAGCCGTACCCCACACTGTCTTCACTGGCACAATCCATGTTATGTACAATACAGCCGTACCCCACACTGTCTTCACTGGCACAATCCATGTTATGTACAATACAGCCGTACCCCACACTGTCTTCACTGGCACAATCCATGTTATGTACAATACAGCCGTACCCCACACTGTCTTCACTGGCACAATCCATGTTATGTACAATACAGCCGTACCCCACACTGTCTTCACTGGCACAATCCATGTTATGTACAATACAGCCGTACCCCACACTGTCTTCACTGGCACAATCCATGTTATGTACAATACAGCCGTACCCCACACTGTCTTCACTGGCACAATCCATGTTATGTACAATACAGCCGTACCCCACACTGTCTTCACTGGCACAATCCATGTTATGTACAATACAGCCGTACCCCACACTGTCTTCACTGGCACAATCCATGTTATGTACAATACAGCCGTACCCCACACTGTCTTCACTGGCACAATCCATGTTATGTACAATACAGCCGTACCCCACACTGTCTTCACTGGCACAATCCATGTTATGTACAATACAGCCGTACCCCACACTGTCTTCACTGGCACAATCCATGTTATGTACAATACAGCAGTACCCCACACTGTCTGTGCTGACACATTCCAGGATATCTACAATACAGCAGTACCCCACACTCTGCACTGGCACAATGCTGCATTTAGTAAAGCAGCACCCCATTCAGTGCATTTCTTGGCACGATGCTAGGCTCCCCCTACAGTGCCAGGAACAGACAAAACAATAAGAAGCCTCTTATTCTACATTATTGCACTATGCTCCAGCTGTGAGGACTCTGCTCCTACCGCAAATTGCCGAAGTTGCTAAGCAACCAATAGGTAGTTTAGTAGCGCCTATATACAGTACCAGTAAAAAAAAAAGCCTGGTTATAACTATAGAAGATAAAAACACAGACAAATTATTGTGAAACCTCATAAAGCAGCATAAATATATTGACCCAATTTAAAACAGTGATGGTGTCTTTACATTGCATTTAATGATGGTGATGGGAATCTGATGAAAAAATAGGTTTTGAAAAATTATGGATTAGATAAGAGAAAAAAATGTATGCCTCACTTTTTGGGTAACTCTTGCGTGCCCTCTCTACTGTGTGTGTCATGTGACAATGGTCAGCATTTTGATCCAATTTAACTTGACTCTTTAGGCAGAATCCCTTGCACTATATGGAAGACCAAAGACAGATGGTGAATTGAAGATCATTACTTCAGAGAAAAAGTCAAAACTGGACAGGTAAACTGGCATCCACAGTGGATCCATGCTCAGGGTGAGCTAAAATAACAAGAACAATAATTGAAATGACAGGAAGAAGCCAACTTTTTTAAAGCTGTGAAATAGACAGAGGTCTTGGAATTTCTTTATTGGTAGTGCTAGAGAAGAGTAGCTCTATTCATAAGACATGCACTACCAAATGAGCCCCATAACAGCAAAATGTGAGTATGCTGCAGGATATACTGTATAAAAGAATGTATTATCATTATTGTGAGGAAGCCCTTTAAGTGAACATGTAAGGCGAGGAAAGGTTATCAAACTAACAGTGGCGTCAAGATGCAGGCAGCTTGTGGTGCCTTTAAGTGGGTTCTGGGTGATTGGACTTGAAGACACCTGTAGTTTTCTGCAGGCAGCCTTTATTGGGCGGGGCTTACTGGGTCCTTCCCACAGCTCTGCTCTCTGTGTAGTCTTTTGTGCAGCCTGGTGATGGTGTCACTGCTACTTATACAAGGTAATACCTAGGTTTTCATAGGCATTTTGTGCACAAAAAGTTAATTTATATCCCTTGTAGCCACTGAGGAATATATTTAAATGATATCGGGGGCAGCAGGGTTTCATTTTTATTTATTTTTTACTTTTTTATTTTTACTTTTTCATTTTGTAAATCTTTATTTTATTTTTGTAACTTTTTTAATTTTAACTTTTTATTTATTTACTTTTTCCCCTTAATGTTCTTCCTATTACATAGGAGATTAAAATCCCTTATGTGATAGTTTGGAGGTGACAGGTTCTCTTTATGGAACCTGCCCTCCAACACAGAACAGCAGTTCTGTGTAGTTCCTAACAGCCGAGACAGGTGGCGCTGTGATTACAGCGCCACGGTCTCAGAGAACACACAGAGAGCCCGTAGAGCAGACGTTTTTCGTCTGCTCTATGGACTCTATGGCTGAGCCGTTATGCCTTAGTTTTCGGGGTCCCCCGGGAGAGTGGGCGACCCCGAAAACTACGGCGGGGGGTACGGGCAGAAATGATCGCCGCTGCTCAAATTAATACAAGTGGTCTGATCAGACCACTTGTAGTAAACGAGCGGCGGCGGCTTCATACATTCAGCTCTGCTTGTCCGGAGCCGAGCTGAATGTACTTTAAAACTACTCGCCCGGCGCCCGAAACTGCATGTCCCGGGCGTCGGGCGATAGGAATTCCACACCCCTGGATAATTATTGTGCCCTGAGCTTTAAAGTATCAGATACCCATTGCCGAACCGAAACATTTCTCAAGGACGGTACTACCGGTATGTGCCCTTTGGGCTGGGGGTTCTGATCATGAAAAGTGAGTATCAAGAGTCTGCTGTCTATAGCAGTCAGATGCTTCTTCTCCCTTTCTACCTTACAATGGAAAATGAAAACTAAAATTTGATGTTGCCGTTTAAAAAAAAATTAAAATACTTTTGTTACATAAGGCCTACTTATGTACACTTAATATGCAATTGAAATTTTTTTATGAAATAAGCTTTTGTTTTAACCTATTATTAATAATATTTTAATGGTACATGCATTATATTGTAATATAGTGTAAAGTAAAGGCTGTGAACTACAGCCTGCTTAGACTACTTGTATTTTACTGCTCACTTTCACCTGTACAATAGAATCATGTAAATCTATGGCTCACAGCTTATTATCAAAACATAATGTTCTGTCTACATGAGTGTACTTTATCAAATAGCCAAGCACACTTTTACTTATTCAGCTATCTTTTCCGGACTTCTCAGGTATGCCTTTCTTCTGGATCAGGCACTGCTAATATGTAAGAGGAAAGGTGATACATATGACCTGAAGGAATTTATAAGACTTCAGAATTATGAAATCCGTGATGACCCCAGTGGGGATCGAGACAATAAAAAGGTAGATAGTCATCAACAGTATGTTTTTACAACTCAATAGTCAAGAGGAGAAGTCTGTAGAAATATAGTCTCTCTCTCTCTCACTCACAAAGTATTTGCAGCTTGCATGCAGGGGGTTTCCAATACCTGCTGCAGTTTACTCTTGTCTAAATGTAGACGTCCATTAACAAAGAATGTACAGTTGTGTATAAGTATAAAAAAAATAATGTGTTGGTTTTTCATTTGAAATTTCAAGTTCTTCCGAGTTTAAAGAAGTAGCCAGTTTCAGTGAATTAACTGATGGTGCCAAAAGGGATAAGGAGTTGAGAAGAGTTCCATTGTACTTTGCAACACAGTTGAAGCTTCCACTTTTTATAATAAATACTTTTCAAGTGCTTGCCATTATGTTTCTGGACAGTGGGGAAATAAATCAGCTGGAAAGCCACAGGAACACCAGCATAACATAGTAACTGCATTCATAAAATGTAATGGGGCATACTGAAGGCTGAAAGTAGTAAAGCCTGTGATTCCATAAAACACAGCTCATCCTATATAACATTCTTTTTCAGTGGTCTCACATGTTCTATCTGATTGATGCCCGAGCCTGCCTAGGATATGAACTGTATTTCAAGACAAGAGAACTAAAAAAGAAGTGGATGGAGCAATTTGAAATGGCTGTGTAAGTTTGTGACAAAATGCATCTTCTTGTTCGGAAAAATGCATGGATTGCACCCTGTTAATCAAGCCAAAAGTGATATTTTATGTATACGTGGAGCTTGGGGAAATGCATCACCCACTGGCTTCATATATGTCTTATATACCCCAGCATTGAGATCCTATAACTTACTGACTCTGTTCTTATCCAGCTCGGAGTTTTAAGTGTTCCTGTCTTTGCATGTTCAGCAAATTCTGGGACATTGTTCACAACATAATATTAGTAAAAAAAGGAGAATTTGAACCCATCATATGGGATATATGGAATGGAATCTAAGATATCTTCCAAACATCTACAAAAAAGTAAAATATTGTTTTGGGTGGACTGACCCTTTAACATATTTATGTATACAATAGGTATATTATTGTCTAATAGTCATGGAAAATGAATACATTGAGGATAATTTGTGAAATTTGGTGCATGGTAAAAGTATGGTTGTTGTACGCAGCAACAACACGTCACTTTTTATCTTTACTCTTGACAGAGCATATGCTAGTTCCACACACTAATTCAAAGTTCATATTATTGGAACCCCATCTGGATGTTTGTGTGTGAAACAATGGGCATGCATGGTAGGAGCCTCACAAAAAGGTCATTGGCTACTTTTAATCTTACCTTTTTTCCTCTAACTAGACTGGAAATGTGAAACAGAGACTGTTTTAGAAACTGAGCTTGCAAACAGATCAACAGGCGTTTTTCTTAATCATACATCATTGCACACAGGAAGTTAATTCTGGAATTGATGGGTTATGCAGCTACCTTTAGGTGGTTGGACACTGGCAAATCAAAGCTGTTAGGACAGCCCTGAAAATCTCTCCCAATCCCAGCCTACTTGTGGCCATGGGTGATGGATGCCTTCTCTGCTCTGAGAGAGCACTTTTTCTACTCAACATTCTCCTAGCAAGTTTCCCCATGCTGCTCACAGTTTCCCTTTGGCAGAGGGACCCCAGGCCCCTCCAGAAGAAAGATGTGGAATTGGTCTGTAATGTGCTTAGATTCCTGCATGGGGCACTCACCTTGGCACTTTGTTCAGTGCATGCAGTTGCTGCAGGGTGCTTTACAGAACCAGGCTCGTGGTCTAGTTCTGTAAAGCCCTGTCCCTGAAAACCCCTTCAGTGGTATGCCCACCAGCAGGGTGGAGACTGGATGGGGGATTTCCTCTTTAAATGACTGTGCTCCACCTGGTCGCTGCTGTTTTGAGAGTTAGTAAGTCAGGGCTAGTCACTGGAGGTACCCATGTAACAGCCCCTCTGTCTGCATGGGTAAACTTGGGGCTCGGAGGGATCGCTTACCACTGCATCTCTCCTTTTATATTTACTGCTTTTTCAATAGTCCATAGATGGCCTGTGGAATCACACAGTACCTGCATAGTCTCCCTCTGCGGCTTCTCTATTGTGCATTTGCGTGCCATCTTCCTTCTCCTGGCCACACACTGCCACTGCTGCTCCTACAACTCTGCATGTCACTAGGGAACTCAGATCTCTACAAACTGCTGCACTGGATCATCACTCCTGTCCACAGTGCTGGGTCGCTAAGAACCCTGTAACTACCACAGTAGTGAGTACTGGTTTCCTCTTAGGCAATGATGGGTAGTAGATGTGGGGAGGTATGGGCCACAGACTCTGGCGTTTCACAGCCTGACAACAGTTTCAGAGAGGATTATGTTTCTACTACCTCTATGGTCTGCTCCTTCTCCCCATGACTCCGCACCTCTAGGTCCACTTGAGCAACCTCTAGAGCACCCTTCTCTATCCTGCTGTCCATAGAGGACTTTACTTCAGTAATGGCAGAATTTATGGGGAAAATGTCTGTACAATTGGAGTCCTTAGACTGCAGGGGGAGCAAGCAGGCCCACCTCCTTCCCCTTCAGAGTCCCCTCTCACCTCCCTCTATCTGCTTCTGTGATTCCTAAAGGAGATGGGGAGAAAGGGGCGGTTTCCAGTTATGTGGATCAGTCCAGGAAAAGGACCTGTCTCCTGACAACTCTCCCAAGCTTAAGGACACTGTTGCTTTCTTTGTGGACACAGTGTGTGATTGTTTACAGTTGCAGCTGTCTGCGCCTCACTGGCATTGGTCCTTTAAAAAAATGCCTAAACCTGTAGCATCTTCCCTGTAAATATGCTTTTACAGCCAGTGTTGATGTGCTCCAAGAAACAGATTTTATAGGAAATAAAATGTCCTTCTTATAAAGCTGCAAGTTTGTATAATACTAGCATTTCTTTTCTTACAGATCCAACATTCATCCAGAACATGCTCATGCAAATGGACATGATTTTCAAATGCATTCATTTGAAAGCACAGCTACATGCAAAGCCTGTCAAATGCTCTTAAGGTAAGGCAAGGAGAAGTATGTGAGAAGGCAAGGAGAAGCACTTACTGCTTCCTTGTCACCTAGCCTTACACGCTTTTTTTGGCACTTACAGGGGAATATTCTTCCAAGGATACAAATGTTCCAGTTGCAGAGCTCCTGCTCACAAGGAATGCTTGGGCCGAGTGCCATGCTGTGGGAAGAAAGGTAAGGCACAAGTTGGGTGAAAGATAACACATTTCAATACAAATAGTCAGGTACTAAAGATTGGAATGGTTATGGAGTTTCTCATGGAATAATATATATCATATAATTAGTGCAACCAATCTATTTAATTGTTACAGTGGTTCATCCAGACATGGTCTGGATTCAGATGTGGTCCTTACTAATTTGTTACAAATAAGCAGTGCCCTCTTACCCCTGGAACAACACATAGGCTGAAGGAATGACAACAGCCACCCACACATTATTTTGCTGACTGGGTGCATACACTTAGAACCAATCTGTTGGCAGAGGAGGGTAACAGTTTGTCCTACTTTTAAAACAGCTGTGTCTGGGTTTTCTTCAAGAGGCTATAAAAGAAAGCATACCACCCATTTTAATCTCTCTGCCCCCCAGTTTTGGCTTGGCTTGTGTGGCTATGATATCTGATAGAGTGATACACTACTTGAATTTTGACTGTCCTGCAGATTGCTGTGGGTGGCCCTGTCGATTTTTCACTTGTTGGGGCAGTGACTGTTGCACTGCTTGGGTATGCTGACAGCCGGCACATGGCAGGGGAGATGCTGTGGATGGGGGAATCGAGCCTTTTTTCTCATTCAGCCCCATGGCTTCCAGTGTATGCCTAGCCCAACCCTAACCAATTGACTGAGGTAGGAGAAAGGGAGCAGAAGACAGTTGGTGTAATAGGGAATTGAGTATAAATTCAACCATGGTGACATCTTAAAGTCATTCCAATAACAAGTAACTGAGCTGCTCTACAGTCTCCAAGGGATCCTCCAGGGTCCAAACATTCTCACTGCTGCCCAGCTGTTGTGGTTTGCCACTATGCCTGGCACTGCACAAGCAAGCTTCATTCACATCACCCAATCAGAAAGCTTCTCCTGTGCTAAACAAGCTCTGAAGTTCTATCTAACACATTGCCACAGTATAACCCAACCTCCCTCTTCAATAAATCATCTAAGCTTGATTATTGAATTATTCATATTGTTTTTAATCAGCTCTATTGTTAAATTCTAGAAAACAAGCAGACATATCAGATAATAATAATCTCATTTAAAAAATATGGATATTATGTTCTCAAATAGTAAAACAACTTCAAGGACTTTGTAACTGACACTTGTTTATCATAGCGGATTCCTTTGGGAAAGCTTTTGACATCAGTGAAAAGGTAAAGGGAACCTATGAGGACAGAAATGTGGGTGCTGTCATTGTTTATTTGTTTTTGTTTTGAAAAAAAACAAGATATTGAGATGTCATCCTGATCTTGCTTTACCAACTTATGAGTTGCTGACCCAAAGCAAACATGAGCAAGAGTTCTCACTGGCGGCATGCTTGTTACAAGTTCTAGACTGACAAGGTACAGTCTTGGTCTTTAAATTCTGTCTGTGAAGGTACTTCCCATATTTATGTTCTCACAAGTTCACTTTAACTGCAATATTGTTATTATTACTATTATTATTATTACTACTGCAGAATTAAAGTTAAACATCATCAATAAAGTTAAAAATAAACAATAAAACATAATTTTTCTTTTTTTCTTTTTCAGTCAGTGGTCTATTTACTTCTAAAAAGGTAAACAATATGTCTTATAAGATAAGTAGGACAGAGTATGATAAAACAGAGGCAGTGTGTTGAAATTATACAAGCAGATACAAGTAAATACGCTATATTACCAAAAGTATTGGGACACCTGCCTTTACTCGCACATGAACTTTAATGGCATCCCAGTCTTACTCCATAGGGTTCAATATTGAGTTGGCCCACCCTTTGCAGCTATAACAGCTTCACCTCTTCTGGGAAGGCGTCCACAAGGTTTAGGAGTGTGTCTATGGGAATGTTTGACCATTCTTCCAGAAGCACATTTGTGAGGTCAGGTACTGGTGTTGGATGAGAAGGCCTGGCTTGCAGTCTCCGCTCTAATTCATCCCAAAGGTGTTCTATTGGTTTGAGGTCAGGACTTTGTGCAGGCCAGTCAAGTTACTCCACCCCAAACTCGCTTATCCATGTCTTTATGGACCTTGCTTTGTGCACTGGTAGGCAGTCATGTTGGAACAGGAAGGGGTCATCCCTAAACTGTTCCCACAAAGTTGGGAGCATCAAATTGTCCAAAATGTCTTGGTATGCTGATGCCTTAAGAGTTCCCTTCACTGGAACTAAGGGGCCAAGCCCAACCCCTGAAAGACAACCCCACACCATAATTCCCCCTCCACCAAACTTTACACTTTACACAATGCAGTCAGGCAAGTACCGTTCTCCTTGCAACCGCCAAACCCAGACACGTCTATCGGATTGCCAGACAGAGAAGCGTGATTCGTCACTCCAGAGAACACGTCTCAACTTCTCTGGAGTCCAGTGGTGGCGTGCTTTACACCACTGCATCCAAAGCTTTGCATTGCACTTGCTGATGTAAGGCTTGGATGCAGCTGTCTGGCCATGGAAACCCATTCCATGAAGCTCTCTACGTACTGTCGTTGTGCCAATCTGAAGGCCACATAAAGTTTGTAGGTCTGTAGCTATTGACTCTGACCCCGCTCTGTCGTTTTATGTGGCCTACCACTTCGTGGCTGAGTTGCTGTTGTTCCCAGTTGCTTCCACTTTGTTATAATACCACTAACAGGTGACCATGGAATATTTAGTAGCAAGGAAATTTCACGGAACACCTGAATCCAATGATTTCGAGGGGGTGTCCCAATACTTTTGGCAATATAGTGTATGAGGAGGAAAAACATTAGAAGAAAGTTAGATTTGAATGTAATTGTATAAGTGGATCACAGAAGAGGATAAAAGACTGTGACCTATTAAGACCTGAATAAATAGAATGTAATGTCAGCTTTCATGGAATATTTTATTCAGACTAAATAAATGGGTAATTGAAAGGGGTTTGTAATGTGAAGGAGAAAACCAAGTAGTATATTTAGTGGTTAGTTAAATGATGATGTGTTAAATAAAATGTACAAGTAATAACATAAATCTGTAATTTGCATCCCAAGCAGGGTTGCACACCGCCAAGTAACAGATCAGACGTAGGTAAGTTGTTCTAAAGAACATTACACATGACACATGACACTGACTTTAAAGCTGAACTTCTGGCACATTTAACCAATTGCTGTCCGGGACATTTTCTTACTATTTGCGCACACATGATAAAATATACATTTTGGGCTAGAAAACAGCTTCAAACCCCCAAACAATTATATATGATCTGAAAGCCGAGGCCCTGTAGAATAAAAAAAATGCTAGTTGCAATTTTTATCAAAAATGTAGGAAAAAATAAACTAAATTAAAATTTAGTGCACAGAAACATAATATAATACCCAATTTTTTGGTAAAATATGAAAGAAGTGGTCACGCCATGTAAATAGATACCAAACATGTCAAGCCTTAAAATTGTGTTTGCCCGTGAAGCCGCAAAAAAAAAAATCAATACCCCAAATTTCCCATAGGGAACACTTTAAACGCGTTTACCGCTCATCAGTTTAGTGCTAACAGTGATTGATGGCACTAGAATTTTTGCTCTCACCCCATGTTCACAGCGATATGTGTAGCGCAATTGTTGTTTTCGCATGTAGGCGCACCAACGTGTGTTTGCATTTGTATGTGTATGCAGGTGGGGGGCGGGGGACTTAACCTTTTTTTTTTCTTCTTTTATGTTACATAAATGTTTATAATTTTTAAAAACTTTTTTTTTTTTTTTTTACACTAACCCTATTGCTGTCACATAGGGGGCTAACAAGCACCCAATGTAATAGCAGATAGGGTGTGTCAGGTCCTTTTTTGAGATATCAGGGGTCACCATGTGTCACCTAGGGGCCACAAAGAAGCTGAGGAAGCAGAGATCTGCTTCCCCAGCTACGTCTCCTGGCTCCAAGAGGCGGAGACTGTGACGAGAGACACCGGAAGTGAAGTAATGCACATCACTTCCGGGTCCAGTGATCGGAGGAGAGATCAGGAGGAGAGATCATCTCTCTCTGGTCATTGCGGGGAGACCCGCTAAGCCGCACGGGGACAGCGGTGCCTGTGGAAGACAACGGCAGCCACCACGGGGGGGGCAGGGATAGGAGGGCAACGCACGGTACAAATGATCCGGCGGCTGTACAGACGCCGGTTCGCTTGTACATCAACAGCAATTATCTGCTGTTAAAAAGGATACCAAGAACACGGCTGCTGTAGCACCCGTGTTCTTGTTTTAACAACTTTTAGACGTTCCATAGACGTATTTCGGCCCGGAAGTGGTTAAGGGACACAAATGATTGAAGCTCTGTATCCATTATCTTTTTTTAATGTAAATGGTGTAGGTACCTAAATTTAACCTGGCATCAGCCTCTTGCAATCTTCTGTACAGCAGAGCTCAGATTGTGAGAGGGAGAAGCAGCACAAGGAGCCAATCAGTTGTGCTGCAGTAGCATGCCGAGTGTCAAAGGTATGCGATCATCAAGCTGCTCCTTATGATATCACTGCTGAGTCACAGACTGGGGAAGGTACAAGAGCTGTATTACTCAACACAACAGTGAAAAAATGAGGTCTCCTTCCCTGCCAAAAAAGGTCATGCTGTGTAGAAAATCTGTGTAAGTTCATAAATTGATGGACAGAGACACAAATCCTTTGGCAGGGAAAACTGCTGACATATACTGTATGTATTCCATCTGTTTTTATTTCTTTGCCTTGAAGTTCAGCTTTATGGCATACATGAATTTTGAAGGAAAAATACTATTTTGTACCACTGGCTGGAGCCAAAGAGGAGACTGTAGTAGTTCTTGGCCGTGTTTTGAATGGAAATGCAGATTACGTATTCATTTACTGATTTGCTGCTAGCTATGGCCAGCTTTAACAGTGGCATTTTGGCTTGTCAGAATGTTTACTCTGATAAAATAACCAGTTTTAAATTTATGAAAACAAGCCAGGATCTGTAATTAAGGAGATCCCCAACTTATTTTCACAAATCAACTAATAACTCGAGTTCTTTATTTGCGCTAACTTGAAGACAAAATAAAAACAATAATGTGCAAAAATATATATATTTATTGACTAAAAATCAGTGCAAAATAATAATAAAAATGTAACTGGTGACCATGAGGAATATGAATCAAAAATTACAATAATATTGATCAGCAAAGGTGATAATAAAAATAAAACCACAGGATATAATGTCAAATACTAATAAAACAAAACTAAGTAACTCCTGGAATGCAATTAGTAACTTCTCAGTAACTAAACAGAACGCGACAAAATAATGTGCAGATTCAACACGTGACCTCTCCCAGCCAAACAGATGCTCAAAAGCTTAAATTTCTTCTGCGCGTGAACTAACTTATAAAACTATGCACAGGACTGGCTATCAGCCAAGAATCTATTTAAGGTAAAGGCAAACTTTCTCTAAGTTATTTAATTTTATGTATATATCACAACTAAACCATTGACTAGAAACGGAAATCAGCTGAGATTCCATAAATATTTCTCCCAAGATTAAGTGCTTGTTCACACCAAATGCAGACCAGATCTGCATGAGTTCCTGCACATGCAGTGCAGTGGGTTGTGCCGCGTTTTTGCCGCATTTTTAATGCGTTCCAGGAAGTTTTTGTAAATAAAAAAAATTGACTTTCAATGCGTTCCAGAGTGTTTGCATGCGTTTTTAATGCGTTTGCATGCGTTCCAGAGCGTTCCAGAGCAGGAAAAATATGGCTTGCTGCAGTTTTTTTACATGCTCTGGAACTGAATGCTCCAGTGTGAACTAGAGACCAAAATACCATTGGAATACATTGGACGCAGTTTTGATCCAGTCTGTAACTGCTCTGCTCTGCTCCTGGAACGCACTTGGTGTGAACTGGCCCTGAAAGGAAGACAATTTTCTACAGCAGTTAAAAATTAATCTAACTCAATCTTGATGCTAACAATGACCAAATGGTTTAGTTAGATATAAGGTATATGGCTAGTCAATTGCTTACAGATAAATAGAAATGTATACTTTACCAAAAAATTTTAATTATTTTGTCTAAGAGATGTCAGCTTTGTGTCAGTTTAGGGACAAGAGATGTTCAGGTTCTATTTGGTTCAGTTCCCCCTGTCAGCGCCTCCATCAGCTTCAGGTCTCTCCCTCCTGTGCCTGTGTACGTCCACCTGTATATTCTTTCCTTTTTTTTCAGTCTTTCCGTTCTTTCCACTCTTAACTTTCTCCTAACCTTTATCACCCAAAAATGTGGGAGGAGAAAGCTTATCGCAACCTAATTATGACGTCACACACTCAGATCACCTTACTCCAAATTAGCTGACTAACCTGTTGGACTAACAATAATTTTGGATTTTTCCTTAAAATTCCAATATTATTCCATGAGATGTACCCTGACCTAAGCCCATAAATTAAGAATTCATCAGATATCTTTGACAGCACATGTCAGACTTACTGTCTCTTTAAGATATGTATAGCTTGAGAAAGTCTGAGCAAGAACAATAATGACATTTTCTTCTGCATACATTGAGAATTAAGTGGTTACTCACATTCTTTCACTGATTACAAAATAACAGTATATCCAACATAATTATTTGTACTTTAAAAAAAAAACCACCATATTAATAATATATACAAATATGTGCCAATAAGTTATTACTCAAGTAAGTCAATATTTAGATGCTTCATGCAATACTAATAATAACACAATTTAAATTATTGCTAATACCATTCATTTCAAATAATAATAATGTATGCAAGGTAACTTTTTTGGTCAGCTCGTTTTCCTATGATGAGAAAAGAAAAATAAATATCATGGTAGTCTCTTTTGTTGTTTGTTAAGTTTGAGACATGGCAATTCCATCAATCTCAGTCTAATACAGTCTGGTACCATGGTCAATCCTTATCTCCTCGTTGTTTGGTACCCCCACAATTTACAACCTGGGAATGTATGTGGTAAGGCTCTTAGAATCGCGGATGTTAGAGTCTTTGTCCAGAAACCATGAACTCAAATTCACCTTATATACTGATAGAATAGACAGAACAAAGATGGCTTCCAGGATGCCCATGATACATTATGTAGAATAATATGTATAGGCCTTAAAGTTTAATTCCTTTTAACCCCTAATAGTTTCAACAGGCTGCTCACAGATAAACTAAACCTAATTCCCCAATACATGAGACTTTCTGTCAATTGCAGGTCTTACGAAGATGGAAACATGTCAGGAGTACTTCGGAATTCCTCCACCACCTATTGCATTTGGCCCACCACTAAAAATGCAAAAAGGGCATGTCATAGAGCTGACAAAAGCAGAAGCTGAGCAGAACTGGTGGGAGGTACGTTTTTTTCTGATTTTCAGATCCACCATGCATTGTTGTGCTGTATCATCTCATCCTGGAGTCTTGTTTTTATTGCCTGTGTCACAATAATGTCATTATAATCTAATTATTTTCAAAGTAGCAGTCAGCTCACCTTTGGAAGACTAGGTGGCCGCCGCTACCTGCTACTTAAGCTGAGCCTTTATTTATCCACCATTCTTATCTGTGGCTCATGTACAAACAGTAGTCTAAAGGAAACGGTAGCAGCTGCAGCCTGTGAGATTCCATTTATCAGTTTTAAGTATAGGGTAGGATGGAAGATAACACCTGATTAGTTGCCTAGAAGAAATCTACATTGTTTGTAATGCGTTTTCTTTACGTTGCTCAAAATAAACATTTTCGTGAAATATTAGGTAAATATTGCAAATCAAATATTTTATATATACCATTTGCAACCCCCAGATGGAACTCTAAACGTGTCTCCACAGCACAATTCTTAAAAAAGGGGAACACCCCTTCTCCTCTTCTAGCATTGATGGCAGTGTCTTAACTAAGCAGTATCATGTTTATATCTTGTTTAAAAAATTTGTATAAAATGTGTACAAATAAAGATTTTATACAAGTAACTATAGACTAAAAAAACAGGTTTTTATGTGTTAAAAAAATAAATTTACTAGAAACCTTTCGATATCATTTACACTGGTAGTGATATACATGTGTTTTAAATGGTTTTATATGCATTTATAAGTCATTTCTAAACACATATAAATGCATGGAATGATTTTAAATGGTATAATTCATGCTATGTCTTTACCTGTGTTTAGATGCATTGAGGGTACTTGCGAGTAGAGAACATCTGTGCTTCCAGGGGCAGATTGGATACTCTGAACACGTCTAAACTCATGTAAACGCAGGCACATTTTTTATGCAGGAGAAAGTGACCTGGGAAATATAAAGTTTGTTTCTTTGCATGTAAATAAAACAAATGCAGGAGTCTGGCGTAATTGTAGCCTGAGGCCTCATTCACACGGACGGTAGCCTGCCGCCCTCTGAAAAGCGTTCCACCACAGATTGCTTTTTATATGACAGCAGCTGGCCACGGTCGAGGAGGTGATACTGCTGCCCCTGAATACAGTTTCGGGTTTTTTTTTTAACTCCCAATGGCGATTGTCTATTGCAGTACGTGGTATGCAGATATATGGTTGTTGCGCAGTTCCATTCATTGTAGTGATCATGCTGGACAAGTGGTACCACCTGTCAAATGTGACATGCTGTATTTATTTTTTGCCGTGGCAATGTACACAGCACTCTTCAGCTGCACTGCTGACATTGCAGCAGGCGACCTGGGGGGCGGGGCAGTCGGTTGCTGTTCATGACAGCGAAAAAATATACAGCACTGCCATGTTTTACAGGCAGTGCCGCCGATGTGAACAAGGCCTTATCATTTCCTCTTAAAAAAATTGAATGTAAACCCGAGAGGTAAACTCAACTTTGCAAAATGTAGTAAACTATAACGGCAGAAATCTTTTATTGTTGAGCTTATTTCTTAGCGGATAAAAGGAGAAATCTAGTCACTAGGGATAACTGTACATTTTATTTCTGGTTTCACAAACTTAAAAAAACTCAATCATCTGTTTTAGGGTCGCAATACCTCCACTAACGAGATTGGTTTCTTCCCATGCTGTCATGTGATTCCTTATATATGTGTAAGTGATGAGAACGCATACATGTTTTAATTGTGAATAAACTTATTTGGTGGGGCATTTTGCTTACCTATGAATAGTGATAGACCTCAAAATGTGATTGTAACACTATCTATATATTTACAATGTGTTTACTTCAATTAATATACATTTTATATTGGTATAAAACAACTTATATTGTTTACAATAATTGATATAATACATTTTTGTAGTTTTTCTCCACATGGCTCTGTTCATTACATGGCAGTGCCTGTTAACATATATTGGCCTTTGGGTAAATGTTGTTTGCAATAACTTGTGTGCCTGTATTATACCACTTCTAATATAGATATTGATGTTTTCTCAACAGCATCCAGTACCTGATCTCTCACTATATTCCTGGTGAGTAAGAGCTTTGCTTATATGGTATTGTAAAGATAGATAGGCAGTCAAGCAGTGATAGCGTAAATAGCTAGAGTAAAGTTATTTTAGGTGAAAGCAAGGTTTACAGTAAAAATGGAGGCAAGCTTGCTAAATAAAAGTCTGCTGAAGTCTACTATAAGCTACAGCCAGTGCTTCCATTCATGTCTGTATCCAGTACTTAAAGGAGAACTATGAGGTGAGTGCTTTTCACTCACCTCATAGTTCTAGCCGACCTGTGACAATGAGACTGTCACAGGTCGGCAGGTGAGCGAACACATACCGGCGTTCGCTCACCTCTCGATCCTGTCTCGGCTCTCTGCCGTGACAGGGGAGTGGCTGGATTCCCCCCTACCCGCTCCGATCCGCCAGCGCTGACTGGCGGAACGGACGGGGGAGGGTACAGCTGGCTCTGCCTCTAAATAGGCAGAGCCAGCTGTCAGTCACGGAGCTGGGCGGATGCCGGCACAATTGTCGGGATCCGCTGCAGCTGCGGCGTCTCAGTATACCGCGAGCAGTAGCTCGCGGTATACTGCGGCGTCTCAGTATACCGCGAGGCTACAGCTCGCGGTATACTGAGCCTAGGGTGACGGGAGGACGCTAGTTTGTGTCCTCCCGTTACCCTAAGGAGAACTATGGGGAAAAGCCTTAACCCCATAGTTCTCCTTTAAAGCCCACCCAACGCTATATTAATCTACTACTCAAGCCCCCCACATGTAAAAAAAAAATTCATACTTACTCTTTTTCAGAAGTTTTAGGCTGGTCACATGATATGCAGGATTCTCTTTCCCTTTGCCTCTTATCTTACACTGGGTGATTCAAAATGATGCTGAGAGTGCCACTGATGTGATACATTAGCATGATTTTCTGCATCATTTTACTTTTAATGGAGGGTGCCATGGTCGCGCCCACACAGGGGGCAGGTCCATGATGCTCTGACTTTAAAGGAAGCGCGTTGAATGACCCTGGGCATCATTCAGTCCAGAAATGGAACGGCATTTGATCACAGAGTCAGTAAGTCTATGAGGGGCAGTTCCCAGCATGCATCAGGTTTGTAGCAAGCATTAGGTAAAAGTGGATCATAAGCACATAGAGTAAGGAGTTGTGTGCCTTAATGTAATCCAAGGAAAGGATTTTGCAGGTAAGACAAAAATCCTATTTTCCTAATCGTACATTAAGGGACATAGAAGTATTCAGGTACAATGGGACATCCAAAAGCAATCCAACTGAGCGGTGGGCTACACAGCAAACAACTGCTAAGAGGCCCATCTGTGAACAACAGGTTAACAGAAGGGGCTCAATAGAGCTCACAGAGCTACCTGAAGAACCGTACAACCAAAGTTGGCATCAGATGAGGCCTGAACATCTACCTAGTAAAATCTAACGAACATGTGAACAGAAGACCAGGTGGCAGCCCTGTAAGTCTGAGAAACAGATGCCTGATGATGAAAGGTCCCAAGAAACACTGACTTATCTAGTGGAGTGCACTTTGAAAAAGAAAGCTGTAACCTTGTCCTTCATGCCATAGGCTAAAATGATGAGCTTCTGTTGCACCAACAGAACCAAGTTGAGATCCCCTGTAGTCACTGGGGAACATAAAGGGAGAGCAATGTGAATGATACCCTGTACAAAGACCTTCTCCAAGGAGTGACAGGCAAACAGTGGTTGAAAAAGAATCGCTAAGGCCAAGTTTGGCCACCAAAGGATCCCTAGGCCTGTAGACAAACCTGTTTAGTTTGTTCTTTTAACCTAGGGGCCAGAAGTTACACGTCTGTTGTCGTCCACCATTGACAGAGGTATTAAAACACCGTGGGGTGGGCGGACCACTCTCTGAAGTTCAGATGTTTATGACTGAGGAAGTCTACTAGCTAATTTTCAACCCTGGGATGTGTACGGTGGATAGGGCTGAAACATGATGTTCCCCTCTAAGCGAGAGTCAGATACTCTTCTATTTGAGCTGTGAGACTTCTGATTCCTCTCTTATGGTTGATGTAAGCCATTGCTGTGGCAGGAATCTGTAATTGAGCTTCCTGTGGCAATCAAGTCGTGTGAACTGAGAGAGTATTGAGGACTCCTCCCAGACTGACAGGCTAGCATCCATCATGAAAACCTTCCAGACCAAAGGGAGAAAGGATTTCCCCAATTCTTGCACTGGACTTGTGATCCACATGGCCAAGGCAAGCTTGGTTTACGGGGGTCAGGGGGATGCATTGGTCCAGAGCCTCCCTGTCCCACGCTGCCAGAATGTTAAATTGCAACAGTTTGGACTGATATTGGGCATATAAGTCCGCCTTAAAGTGGGCCACAATCAAGACCAGAAACCTCATGCAAAAGGTTTGGAGGGTTGGTTGGCTCCTGGTCTGTAGAGTCCAATCATGGGAGTGTAGAGTTTTTTGGTGGAAGGAAAACCTTGGACAGGGCCATATATAGGATCAGGCTCAGACACTCCAATCAATGAGATGGTTCCAGTGCAGTCTCCTGGAGATTTAGTATCCACACAACCCTCTGTAGGGTCTAGACAGTCTGAGAGACATTCACTGATAGAACCTGCACAAACAGTTCTTGCAGAAGAAAGTTGTCTAGATATCCCAATGATGGGGATGCCCCGAGAGCAAAGGAACATAATGCTATCCTTATGTTTTAGAGCTATGTCAGAAGATTGAGACTTCTCATGTACCAAATCATCAAACACAAATAGGATACATTCCTCCCCCTGCTGATTGTGCAGAAGCAGATGCAGCCAGAAAAAAATCAGAGATGAACTGTAGAGGAGAGAGCGATTACTTAGCTATCATGGCTGAAAGTTTCCCCAAAAAGCCAGACACAATAGCAGCAAATGTATCCCTGGAAAAGGAGGACTGGGTTAGAAGGACTGAGAAAGAAGGGTTAAAGAGTGTTGCGACTCAGGCAGGGTACAGTGGTCTGGGCTCTCAATGTCAGGTCCTTAGGTCAGGAAAACTGCAAGCCAGACAACCTTCCCCCACAGAACTGATGTAATGTGTGAAAGCAGAATTTAATGTTCTTTGGCTCACAAGGTCGGGACCTATATACGATACATAGTACAGCATACTGAAACTTGTAGTTAAAAAGCCTCAGATTACCTTACCTGGCTTAGTTATTTGTAGATGTGGATGGTTCTATAGGCCTTTTTATTCAAAATTGATTAGAAATATAATACCTGAAAATGTCCTTTTGTGCTTTAAAGGTACGCTGGTGCCATGGAAAGAAAAGAAGCAGAAATGTTATTGTCCAATCGTTCTGATGGGACTTTCTTGGTCAGACAGAGATTAAAAGACTCAGGGGAATTTGCAATAAGTCTCAAGTAAGTAAACTGTTCTACATATTATCTCCACAATTTAAATGTTGTTGCACTGTGTGTGTACAAGCTTTTCTGCCATATTGCCAACTCTTCAGGGTCTATCTTTCTTTGGACCACACAGGGTCTATTTTGCCCTTATTGCCTACCATTCTTAATCATTCATTACCCCATTCACATCACCAGCACTTCTGGCATACTGGTACCACTTGCGGTAATGTTATTAGCATGAATGAACCAAGTCTTATACTAGAACTCATTATTATTTGGGTTTGACCGTCTACAAAGCAGCAGTGGAAGGCAAGACCTTCTTGTCTCTAATTACATGATCTCTTCCTTCCCAATGGCATCCAGTTCTCCTTTTGGACCCCAGCACAGACTGCACATAGGTAACACATGGTAACATTTGCCCTGTTAACTCTTTTACTGTGTTTAGGTATAACCAGGAAATAAAGCACATGAAAGTAACTGTTCAGGAAGGAATATGGAGACTCACAGAGAAGAAAGGCTTCAAGGGGCTTCCAGTAAGTGAACCACCTTCCACTCTAACATGTATGTAGAAAATGTTTGCAGAAAGATTGCAGGCTCCACTTGTAGTTAGAGGATTCTCTTGTAAGTAAGATATATCAGCAGACAGATTTACTACACCTATTTATACACATAAATAAGAAATAATTTAAAGAGAAATTATAATGGTTTGGGGTTGTTATACAACTATTTTTTATGCTTAGAATTTTAATATATATATAAAGGCATTAGAGAGAAATATGACCATGATATACATAGTTCCTTTTTCTCATGGCCCCTGTTGGTAAGTCATATGCGAACATAATTATTCTTTTACAAACATAGAAAGTAAAGCCTTTAATTCAATTGTCCAAGTGCCATCTAATTTTGGTTATGGCCATATAAGTAACTCTGACAGCTACAGTGCAAGATATCAGCATGTATAATCATATGAATTGAGACCACTAGGTTTTATGCAACATTTCACTTAGCAAATACAGTGTCTTTGACTAAATATCAAGACTTTTAAGTTTATATTGTGTAACTCAACCTAACCATAAGGTTGACATGATGACATATTTCTTGCAGGAATTGGTTGAGTTTTACCAACATAACTCATTAAGAGATTGCTTTAAGCTTCTGGATACAATGCTACAGTTCCCTTTCAAAGAACCAGAGAAGAAAGAAAACGCTAGAATGGCAGCAGAGGGTATGTAAAAACATATTTATAATTTATGGCAAATGGTCTACTTGACAGATTAGTGGAAAGACAACCAGCAGACACATACTGTAATAGTAGGGCTAATCACATTTAAAAGCAACTGTGTTATGTAACCACTGTACTATATAAACATGGGTTTTATCACCACTAATGTTATAAAGTCTGCCCAGTTTACCTTATCTCTGAATCTTCCTGTAATTCCATGCAGCCAGATTTATCAGTCTTCTCACAGTGATTTTATGAAAATAGCTGCAGCCTTTTGTCACAGGATCCTGTGTTCTGCTACCTTCCTCTCATGCTCGTGTTTGGAACAAGGCTCTTTGGGTACAAAGCAGAACACCCTAGTTTTCACAGGCTCAGTATACGTGTAATATTATGTTTAGCTGGAGTATGCTTTTACCTTTTATCTCAATGCTGTTTCAAAATCTAACCACTTTTATATCAAATGTCAATTCCTGTGTTCTTAGAAAATGTTAACATTGTTAGAGGGACTCTCCTTAGCAGTGGAAGCATGGCTCCTGTTCACCTGTGGCTTTAGGGAACTGCACTGATAGGATATGGCCTGCTGTAGGTGAAATCTTCAACATGAATATGTTGGCTCTAGGATGAAAATGTACAAGCAGGGGCAATTACTGCTGCTTTGTTGTGGAGGGTTGGTTGGCTTCAATGGATACAATGCCATATGCAGTGAAGTGTAGAACCCCTTATTAAATGACACTTTCTCCTGTCCCTACAACTGTATTACAGTTGGCTGCTATCCAGCTGCTGCTCGCCAACCTTACATATATCAGCTGTGTCCCTTCTCACTGATTTGTAGAGATGTGTTGCAGATAGTGATCATAGCTAACCATGGAAATAAGCAAAATAGCACTGTACAGAGATATATTCATCTTTGGTTTATGACCCTTCTCTAGTCTAGAAGGATGTCTGTTGTGTAGGCACCATCTATCAACAATCACATCACAGAAAGAGAGCACATACTTAGGATACTAATAAGAAAAATGTAAACATAATAAAATGGGGAGTTTTTCTATTTTTGCTTAACATTTTGTGTAATATTCTAATTTGGAACTAAGATAGGTGACTAAATATGCTGCATGTTACATATGCTCTGGTTATTGTGTCAGTATGTATACATGGGATAACTGCATTATCTCAAGTATTGAAAGGGAACCTGTCTAAAACTACATATGGGAGTTTCTATTGTATCGTTTTTGAAGTTGCAAGCTGCCAGACACCCTTGATATATATATATATACTAATTTATATAATTGAGTATATATTTTTAAAGTTATGTACACAAAGCACTTGGGACAATTGCTATCAGCAATCCGACAAGTCTTATTAGGTTACCATAATACCATTCCCTCTTATAAGCCTTAGCATTGTCTCTAGTGCTCCACAGACATTTAATGGTCACTCTATCTGGCTAAATATGGAGATGGTACTCTAATAATGACGGCGGATGCCTTATTTATAAAAAGATTAACTAGCATTATAGTTTTACATTTGCAGTGGGAACTGTCTTATAAATGTTAATATGTTTACTGCTATAATTGCAAAAACCTTTTATATAAATTCCTGTAATAGATAAGAGGGTGAAGTACTTTGGATCAGCCCGAGCACGTTATGACTTCTGTGCAAGAGACAGAACTGAACTGAGTTTGAAAGAAGGGGATGTCATCAGGATACTCAGCAAGAAAGGACACCAAGGGTGGTGGAAAGGAGAAGTTTATGGAAAGGTAAGATAGTGTATATACATAATATATAACAAAAGCTATTACTGATAGAGCCATATAAAACTTATGTAGAAAACGGATCACGTCGCTATATTTCAGTTTTCAGTGTCTGGTAATCCACTGCAACCAATCATCTTTCCTTTTGAGTCAGTTCCAATATAATGGAGGGAAATATCTGATTGTATGTATTAGGGCACTTATGACCAAAGAACATGGACTGGATGACTGTTCCTTTCAAGTTCAGCTTGCATCAGACCACTGTGCCCACCACATTCAATATGCCATCACTAAGACTACTGTTCTCTTCAAATTCAGTGTGTATGAGATCTCTGTCCCCAAAAAGTTCAGTACGCATTAGACCACTTTCCCTTCCAAGTTCCGTACCCATCAGACTACTGTCCTTTCCAAGTTTAGTATGTATCAAACTTCTGTCCGCTCCAAGTTCAGTGCACATCAGAAAATTGTCCCCTACAAGTTTAGTCTGCATCAGACTATTGCCAGCTCCAAGTTCATTATGCACCAGACTTTTGTCTCGTCAAATTCAGTGTGCATCAGACCACTGTGGCCTACAAGTTCAGTATGTATCAAAACATTATCTCCTCCATGTTCAGTATGCATAAGGTTATTGTCCCCTTCAATTCAATGTGTATCTGATCACTGGCCCCATCCAAGTGCGGTACGCATCAGAATATTTCCCTCTCCAGTTTCAGTACATAACAGAATATTGTCCCCT